AAGTGGTCCACTACGTTCGTATGAAACTGCCCCATGATCCACTCCCTTTGGAACTGCCGATAAACTGTAAAACGTGGAAACGTAACCGCCGAAACATGATGGAAGTTTTGGCAATTTTGGCTATAAATACTATGTTTGGTCCCCGGACTCTATCACTCAATTCCCTTCAGTTTTACACCATCTAATAGAGTGAGTAGAGTTTGGAAGTGCCAAACATCACCGAGAAAGCGTAGCAAAATTGTGAGGAACAACAATGGCAGGAGGCACTGTTTTCTTGGCGTTTAAGAATTTTCGATTATGTTATAAAGTAATTATTCCGCATTAGAGAATCGTCTATTATTGTTTACATTTTATTCATGTTCTTAAGGGCCTATTCTCTTTACCATTTTCAAGTCGTTTTCTATTTTCAATTTTTCAAAACAGTGAAAACGAGTTCTCTTTCCTATTTTCGAAAACGCATTTTGGAAAACAAGTTATAAATTTACAAAAAAAACCCGAAACAACAAATTTGTCGTTTTGAGTGTTTTGAGTTATAATTAAGTCAAAATTTTCAAAATGCGCTTTGGGTATTTTCGAAACAAATTTTCAAAATGTCAAAATAACACATTTTCAACAATCTCAAAATGAACACTCAAAACACAAAATCCAAAATGAATTCAAAACTTAAAACACAAAACTGAAATACAAAGAGAACAACCCCTAAATGTTTTAGCATTTTGTAAAACAGATGCCTTATCAAACTAAACTCTCAAAAGGGAAGTTGCAGAAACACAAGTGAATTTGAAACTACAAGATACTAAACAGATCGTGACGATTGCTCCCAAAACTAGTCTAATTCAATGCACTTTCAATCGGGATAAAGCCAAACCAAATCCACTTCCATAAACATGTGGGTCTTATGTACAGTTAAATAGACCAATAAATATTGTACCTTGATAGTATTAAGTTGTGAAGCCTAATATTGTCACTTCATGGAGCTGGTCGCGGATCAAATTATTGTCCTAATTTATCTTATAAATATGGAGCCATTCTTAGACTTCATGATTATCATAAAAAAAGAGAGGTTAGGAAGATAGGTGTGCGAATAGAACTTGTAAACCTTTTTTTTTTTCATCACGGTGAATTACTGAGCGGCGGGGAGAACGTAGTCTCAAATTGAGATGAACTGTATAAATTTTGCGTGTTCTTGAGTGTTTATTTTTCTTTTTTCGAATTGATTGCTTTCGGTGGAATAGAATTAATGCTTATAATTCTCAATAGATTGTTCCATAAGAATCTTTGACATTTACAATATTGTTGCTCGACCTTAAGAACATTTGGAAAAGATCATACATTCGAAATATACTAAGATGTAAAATTTTCTAATATAATCTTATAATCTCCATTACATAAACCTTGCCTTCCACTCAATCTTTTTAAAGATTAAAATATATATGCAAATTGGTAGATTACGGGGAGTTCTTGGAAAATTATATCTGAAATCATCAACTTTAAAGAAATTCCAAATATCATAAATCATCTCAAACATTGGCTACCCACTACTTTTATCCAGCTAACCCCGGAATAAAGAGAGAAAAATATGAATTGTAAGATATAGGGCCTGTTTGGTACAGATTTTCATTTTCTACAATAAATCAATTCTCATTTTCAACCACACATTCTTCAATAAAATAATATTTTTCATCACATCAATACTTTTTTTTTCTTTTTCAATCACACATTTCCCATCATATCACTATTCAAAAATCAA